AGAGAGAGAGAGAGAGAGAGAGAGAGAGAGAGAGAGAGATGATGGTCTTTTGTTCAATCGAGAATGGTGCAATGAAATTTGTGCACTGGAAGGGCTCAACGAGCAACAAAAATTTTGGAACATGGAACTATATGCTGTATGATGTGTTGAATGCAAATGATGAGATTTAAAGGTGCAACGCATCATAAAAAACAAGAAGAAAAAGGGTGCAACACATCATGCAAACAATGTCTACAAGATTACTCACTATGACTAATCCATCAAAAAGAATCCATTAGAAGCCCTAGAAATTTGTTTACAAAACTGCACTGCAGTTATTGATGAAATAATCAGCATTTATAGGAAAGCAATACAATAAAACTGAAGTGCAGAAGAAATTCAGTGAAATCCATATACCAAAGGTAATGAAGCACTATTACCGGTTCCTCACGGAGATTAATCCAGAGAAAGTGTGTTTTCTTCCCACTCAGTTGAGCTCCAATATGGTCAAGAACATTTTGGATACCTTCAACCGTTGGAATAGCAACACCATGAACATGCGAAGAGCCGGCCTAAAGAAAATAGTTTAGTCAGGGAGTGCAACACATTAAATGACCAACATAACCATCCAAGAGCTATACGATATAAACCATAGCAAATGCAAAGGAATCACTTTGATGCCCATGACCATGAGTATAACAGTTGCTTTGATCGCCCGCCAAAACAACAATGCTATATAATGTGGATTAATAATAGCTTAAACAAGTTGGAGATTAGTATGAAGTTCAAGAATATGGCCCCGATTAATCATCATTTTTTAGACCATATATTATATATTCTTCCTCTCTATTGCAACCATCAGTCATTCCACTGTAGCAATACAAGAGTATCGTTCTCAACAAGAGTCATCCAACTAGCTATACAAGTCAATATTCTATGTCTTCAAAAGTTAACCAAAAAATAATAATATATCTTCCGTTTGAGACAATATATTCTGAATTCTCCAGAAGCTCCTTTATTTCTTCCCGTTATAATGGTCTATATGATTTTCCTTATCCTTCTTTCTCTTAGCTTTTTCCGCTCCAACTGCACAAAAGTTTCTCGAAGAAATCATGCACAATGTAACTAAAACATCGTAGTCACAATCCTGAGGTCAATATGCATAGTAACAGCCATAGGCCAATTCACTTATATGACATGGTATATTTCATTGGTAAAGAATGTTTCCATTATGAACTTGTTGGCCATCAATATCTTTCGCTGCTTCCATAACATTCACCTAAAAAGAGTGGAATGCTAGACCTTCTGCTTCGTCATGAGAGGTATAAGGGACTTACAAGCTACTTAACACTTGCTCGCAGGGCACAAGTGATGATTCTAATATGGCTTTAAGTTAAATACACTGGCAATGATGAATCATTTTACACCATCAAGTCAATTTAATCGGTTATAACAGGTTACTCTTCTATTTTCCAGGTTACCATATCAGGCTTGCTATGACGATTTACCTATTGTTGTAAGTGAACTTAACCTATTGGTGTAAAAAATCTATACATTGACAGTGCAAATATTTAATGTTTACCTATCTAAAGAGAAAGAACTAAAAAAGAATCTAAAGAGGAGAAGTAAACATCTGGAATTATGCAACCCCTCAATTTCAACTTTCTTACATCCTTTAGTATTGGATGAATATGAGAATGAGGTACACTTCTTTCAACCAAACACCAGTCACGGAAAAAAAAGATAAAAGGAATAAATAAACAAGCTGAATAATTAGCTATTTACATGTAGTTATGTAATATTGCACTTTGCTTAATCTTATAATAATTCATCGACAGCTGTATGCAATATGGTCAAAGTGAAACCATTGTAAAAGTCAGAGGGATTTAGTGAATCAAGAGAGATGTGTTTAACTCATCCACAAATAGGTCCAACTAGCAGCGGCGGAATCAGGATTTGAACTTTATGGATTCGAGTAATGCGGGATTCCACCACAGCTCATTGATTTATTGGGTTCAAAATCTATTATTTGTCCTTATTTAATGGTCTGAGCCAAAGTTATTGGATTCATAAGAACCCATACGAGACACACTGTATCTGCCCCAGCCAACTAGCATTATAATATTGGGTATGTTGTTGTTGTTGTTGTTGTTGATCAATAAAATGCATCAAAAAAGGAATATCAAACTTAGGAAACTTAGTACAGTCAAAGAGATTAGGAAAAAAGTCATTTGGCTGGATAGAGAGTTTGACTTGGGCATTAAATAAGTAGTAATAAAAGAAAATATGATCATAATAATAGGAAAATTAATCTGATAGAAAAATTTAAGTCAAATAAATCCAAAATGTGAAAAGGTATCATACAATAAACAGTAAAGTGCATGTCGCACAGCAAGCAGTAAGAAAAATGAAAATTAGAACTGCTAATTAGGAAAAACCTTGCGATAATTAGGAGCACCGTCGATGTGAGGGGATAAGCGTCTGTTTTGGCAGCCAGGGAAATGGTCACTTTTGAGAATTGTCTTCTTTCCCAAAACGGATCCATCTCTCCGTTTCATCACTTGCTCTGGCTCCTTAGGTATCGACATGGATCGCATTTCACAATCCCCTTTGACCAAATGCACAAAGCGTGATCACAAATTATACTGAAAACGGAGCAATTGGATACGAAACTAACAACTAGTCGTATATAAACAGCGGGCAGTTATGGGTACTAGTAGTAAATTTGGAGTTGAGAGTGAGGTTTGAATCAGCAGTGTTAAGCCCAGAAGAAAGAAGACGTAAACAGGCAGATCTTGTGGAGGAGGAAGGATTGGTGGACCTATAGAAAAACGTTTCGAGTTTGAAGAAGTAATTCCAATTCCGACAACTTTATCCATTTTTTTTTACTAGCGTCTCAACAACCTAACTTATAAGGGTTAGTTGAGTCCCATCCTCTACCTCAGTTTTACGCGCAATGTGACTGAATATTCTATTTTTGGTTCCTTGGTTTTTTACCAAATTTCAATTTGGTCCCCAGCGTTTTTTTATTTTATTTTAACATCAAAAGGGTTTTCTATACTTTTATTTGTGCTAACAGTACCAACTAGGCTTGTGGTGGAGTGAGAATCAATCATTCATCCTTAACTAGATATCTCGGGTTCGAATCTTTGGGTATGAAGTCGTCTTTGTTAGGGAGCGTTTTATCCCCAATGTGGGATTTACCGGCGTGAATTCGGATTTAGTCGGGTCCAATGTGGGTACCAGACATCGGGTGAGAAATCAAAATAATTTATACTAACCGTGGGTATAAGTTAAATTCATATAAAAATATTAGAAGATTTTTTAGAGATGCCCTACATCTTTTTTATGAATTACCAGATGATTTTTTTTGTCGTGGTCTAAGGAAAGGAAAATATTTTACTCTAAATTAAGAAGACATATATCCTAAGCTTTATTTCTAACTTCATTAAAAATATAGTTCGAGAAACTAATTAAGAAATGGGTTCAAGCATCAGTTCATTAATAATGAAACTACAATTGATTATAATGATTACTTATATCATTTTAAGTAGTTGTTTAGTTGGTTCAACGTTAGATATAATAATCTGCAAATACTCATCTTAACTCCTCACTATAAGATTCGCGACAACTGTCCAATCACTTGATGCTTCTTCTAATTAGCCAAAAAATGAAGGGAAGAGCCTACTCCGTTTTAAATGAGCATAATTTTGTGCTCCTATTAAATTTAGACTTGCAATAAAGTATTTGAATTTGTTTTTATTACAATATTATCCATACTCTCAATTTATCTAGCCTTAGCGATTTCTTTTTTTTTTTTTTTTAAATAGCCCTGATTAGGAAAGTAAGATCTATATTTTATGCCCTTTGGTTTTCTTTGCTTACCTATAAAATAATTATTAATTACTTGAGAATCAAAGTTCTTTTTTCTGTTGTTTTTGGAATTACGCGTTTGATCAGTAACTTCTAACACGCAGATGTCATAACTATGTTTCCTTTTAATTCATAACTCAAAAGGAGTGTCTGCAAAAGCCTTTCGAGGAACTCTATTTAGCAAATTTAAAATAGATTGAATGCATAAATCGATAGTAATGATTTAACAGATAACAACTACATTAAATTCTTAACTATATCGAGTAATATCCAGTTAAGCATTATGCCACCCCATTTTTATGAGGTGTGTCTGGTATTTTGTGCATGATTTTTAATGAAATTTGCAGATTGATACATTATCCTTTTTAGTTTCCACAATATTCACTAATTCCATCACACTTTAATATTTTCACCTTTGTATTTAATCGCCTTTCAAACTTATTGATATAAAATCTAAGAGCCTTATTGTTTGTTCATTAAGCAAACTACCGTAAATAGAGGCAGATTCATGATTGAAATTTAATGGGTTCAGCTTTGCATTGAATTAATTATACCGTTAAACAGTAGCGAAGCTAGAAATTTCCTCAAGAGTGTTCAAATTTAAAAGAATTGAAAAAAATTTCTTACAAAGAGTGTTCAATACGTGTTATATACCTCTAAAACGTAATATTTTACCTATATACACAGTGTAATTTTTCGACGAAGGGTTGACCACCCTTATGACCATGTGGCTTCGCCACTAAAGTTATGGGTTCAAATCTAATATTTATTGAGATTTTAGTAGAATTTTACATACATATTTATACTATGTGTCGAAAGTTATAGGGTTAGATGAACGCGTAGTCAAAAGGCTATATGCAACCCTAATTGTAAAATGATAAGTCATCGATCAATTGAGCTTATAGATTCAGATGAACCCGTAACCTGAAAAACTACATCCGCCTCTTACCGTAAAATGAAAATTCATCGATCAAAGATAGCTCCCGCAAGGATGTGCAATTTATGTTTGTTTATTTTTGCAAACTGAGTTCAACATCGACTGATGTGTACCTTTCAGTTCATTTGCCTATCGAATTCTTTGATGGTTCATGCTCTCTTTTTGAGAAGGATGCTTCATGCTTTCTTGCATATCAGCAATGGAAGATTCCTTGAGATGCATCGTATGTATTCCTTGATTATTATATATTTTGCAAAGAGCATAATAAAACTTTCCATTTAAGAAAAACAGTAAAAAAAAATAATATAAAAAGTGGTCAAGAATTCTCCAATGGAAGTATTAGTCTATGATAACATGCTAAAACAGTTAGACATTTCCTGGACCAATGATCATTAGAATTTGGACAAAACACAAAATTGGCATGTCTATCAAACTAATTGCATTCACTAGCCAAAGTGTAATACATATACATACAAAAAATATATATATTATCGGTTATTATTTTTAGTATTGTTACTATTGCTTGCTACTTGTTGCTTTATCTCCACGGTTCCTTGAGCTGAGGGTCTATCAAAAATAGACTCTCTATTTCTATAAAGTAGGGTTGAGGTCTGCGTACACACTACCCTCCCCAGACCTATTTATGGGAATACACTGGATTTGTTATTGGTGGTGATTATTATTTTGAGAAATTTTCAGAAACCACTATGTTTTAGTGATTATTAGCTTGCTATAGCTACCATTTACTAAATTACTTCCTATAGCTATGTTTTCAGTTGTTATAAACTGTATTCAATATATTTTTGCTATTGTATTCATGAATACAGTAGCAAAACTCGACGGAAAATAGGGGAGTCCAGCTAAGCAGAGAATGTATTCGACTGTATTCGCGAGCTGTATTCGTGAGTACAATAATGAAAGTTGAGAAAAAAAAGATCTTCAGTTGTTTAAAAACGGTAAGTGAATCAATTAACGCGATAGACTCCTAATATAACTCAACAAACTCAATTATAACACACAAAAATTGTATTTCCAGTTATAGAAAAGATTCTCATCAACCGAAAAACATCCCAAAAACAGGGCAAATCTTCAGAGATTCAATCCATCCTTTCTTTTTTTAGTGATATCTTTACTAAAATATTTTTTAGTGGTATCTTTACAAATAGATTTATATATTAAAATTATATAATTACATTGAATACAGTTAAATACATAAAAATACATTGAATACATGAAGTACAGCAGGTCATCTATAGTGCAAAAATATATGAACACATACTGCAGATACATTTGAATACATATATACATATGAATACATAAATTATATTAATTAAAAAAATATATGAATACATTCATGGAATACATCGAGACAGTGAATACAATGAAATACATGAAATACATCGAGATACATTGAAATACAATGAAAAAAAGACAGTGAATACAATGAAATACAACGAGATACATTGAAATACAATGAAAAAAAAGGTAACAGACTCTTCAAGTTCCTCAGCCCCAAACTTCGTCCCCAAACCACCAATATCTAGGTCGCCACCATGTGGGGCGTCGCCGCCGGTTAAATGAAGACAGTTGTTGAAGAAGCACCAATTTAAAGGATCAAACGGAAACTAGAGACAGAATTTCTTCAGATCTCACAAAGGCAAACATGAACAATCAATGCAAAATTTAAGAATAATTTAGAATGTGTAACACAACTGTGTGAAAGAAATCGCAGGCCGGAGGGGGTTAGGGGTGACACAACAAGGAAGGGGGGGAAGTGGTCGCTGGCCGGATCTGTCGTTGGCGGAACACAACCCCTGCTAGGGTTTCTAAAAGCAAGGGAGGAAAAACCGAGGGAAAAAGAGAAGAAAGAGGAAAGAGAAAGGAGGAGAGAGGGAAGAGAGATGGAGAGAGAAAAATAATACACAACGTATTTAATGGCTTAAAGGTAGGAAGTGACCATAAATAGATATTTTGCTATAAAAATTAAAAGGTAGCTAAGATAATTTTTTAAAAGGGTATTTATTTATAATAAATAAGGTATCAACATTTGCTATATGAGGTAAAATTTCCTATTATTTTTAGGAGCAGCTAAAAATATACATTTCTTTTAGAATTTTTCTTTTTATATAAGACTACTAGTACTCGTGGGTCGTGATCACCACATTGGATATTTTCACCAATTCCATCACACTTTAATATTTTCGCCTTTGTATCTAATCGCCTTTCAAACTTATTTATATAAAATCTAAGAGCACTTATTGCTTGTTCATTAAGCAAACTATAAATAGAGGCGGATTCATGATTGAAATTTAATGGGTTCAGCTTTGCATTGAATTAATTATACCGTTAAAGTCATGGGTTCAAATCTAATATTTATTGAAATTTTAGTAGGATTTTACATACATATTCATACTATGTGTCGAAAGTTATAGGTTTAGATGAATGCGTAGTCGAAAGGCTATATGCACCCCTAACTGTAAAATGATAAGTTATCGATCAATTGAGCTTATAGATTCAAATGAACCCGTAGCCCGAAAAACTACATCCGCCTCTTACCGTAAAATGAAAAGTCATCGATCAAAGATAGCTCCCGCAAGGATGTGCAATTTATGTTTGTTTATTTTTGCAAACTGAGTTCAACATCGACTGATGTGTACCTTTCAGTTCATTTGCCTATCGAATTCTTTGATGGTTCATGCTCTCTTTTTTGAGAAGGATGCTTCATGCTTTCTGGCATATCAGCAATGGAAGATTCCTTGAGATGCATCGTATGTATTCCTTGATTATTATATATTTTGCAAAGAGCATAATAAAACTTTCCATTTAAGAAAAACAGTAAAAAAAATAATATAAAAAGTGGTCAAGAATTCTCCAATGGAAGTATTAGTCTATGATAACATGCTAAAACAGTTAGACATTTCCTGGACCAATGGTCATTAGAATATGGGCAAAATACAAAATTGCATGTCAATCAAAACTAATTGAATTCACTAGCCAAAGTGTATAAAATATATATATGTATATGTATATAATACATATACATATAAAAAATATATATTTTATCGGTTATTATTTTTAGTGTTGTT